TCAAATCCGCGGATTTCCGCGGATCCGCGGAAGAATCTCATCCCTGTGTATGCTACTAAGACAATTTAATGGCAACACCAATATAGATTTATTAAATCAGCTGTTAAATAATAATAAGTAGCAAATCGTATTAGCCACAATGTATAAACGTGACAGGTACTTACTGTATAATGCCCTCGGCAACTTGAGGAATATCCTGTAACCACAAACCATATTCATCAGATACATTAGTCAAAGAAATGCTACGGACAAACTGAAGCAAATATTGACTTGTTCTCATAACTGCTCCCCCTATATTTAATATGGGAGTGGCTCGTATATCACTACGACTTTGTTTATCACTACGCACATTTTATTGTAAAGTAGAGAAAGTAAACATGACAAATAAGGTATCATTTAAGAACACCAGCTTAATTATACATGAGCAGGACATACCATGACATTGTCAGAGAGAGACGAGGTCTGCATGGACACCGTGGGGAGACAGGTTGCTAAGTAGTACGTTCTCTCTGCCAGCCAACTCTGCAAAACAACAGATAATCTGATAAACACGAGGTACAGAACATAGCATCAAGTACATGACTATATACAAAGCATTTACAGGTGTGCTCACAATAAATGATAAAAATTATTGAAGAAGAGAAGTAAAGGTATATGCTAACAGTACAACACTTTCAGGGAGTATATTTACATACAGTCGCATACGTAAACACGAACATATGTGCACGCACTCACACACACTCACACGTGCATGCATGCACTCACTCACATGCATGCACACACACACACGTGCACGCACACACGCACGCACGCACACACGCACGCACGCACGCACACACACACACACACACACACTCATCTCTCTCTCTCTCTCTCTCTCAGCACTGACCAGCGTCTCCTGCAGGTGTGCGAGCACGCGTAGCTGTGCAGGGTCGGCAAGGATGTCGTGCTGCCGCAGCGTGCCGTCGCCCACCATCTCGATGAGCTTCTCACTCTCCCTCACGTTGCGCGCCCGCACCTCCTCCTGCGACTCCTCCTGGTCTGCAGCTCTACAGTCGTGCTGCTGCAGCAGGTTCTGCCAGTTGGGGAGTGACCTGCATGCGGGTTCATCATCATTATTACCACAGTTGCTAATTAAGTGAGCAGTTAATAATACAGCTAATAATAGTTATTATTATTGTTAATATTATCATGCATTTAATGAGAGTACCACGTGACAGAGTTGCATTCAGGCATATTATTATTATTATTATTATTTATAATAATAATATAACATAATGTCTATACAT